TGCCAGGTGCAGGGTCTGCTGGCTGGGTGCTGGCAGGCTTGCACCTGGCACGGGCACTGTAGCCAGCCCGTGCCCCTTTAAAGGGTCCGGGTCCGGGGCCGGGAGGGGGGCAGACGAGTTTCCCTGGTGTTGGCCAGAGGGGCCACCAGGGAAAGCTGGGGAGGGCTAGCCTCCCACTAGTTCGAATTAAGGGGCTACACACCCCTTAATTCGAACTAGCTAGTTCGAACTAGGCTTAATCCTCATAAAATGAGGTTTTCCTAGTTCGAACTAAGTGCTCCGCTAGTTCGATTTAAATTCGAACTAACGGAGTGCTAGTGTAGCGCCTATTAAAGTTAATTCGAACTAACGCCTGTTAGTTCAAATTAACTTTGTAGTATAGACATACCCTAAGGTGCTACAGGACTCCTTGTCGCTTTTTCTAATTCTGAAGACTATCCAACCAACTCGCTGTAACCACCTAGCATGAAAGGTCAATGACCAAAGAGAATCCTGAATCATCTGTGCCTCTTGTGTATACATGAGACTTTTTCATCCACAAATTTGCCTTTTCAACACTAATGTAATTATATTGCCAGAAGGGAACAGTACTATATGCATATAATTAAAATTGCTGGAGGCATATGAAAGCACCTTAATGACTAACACACTGATTAGCTAAAGAAGCTTGTAGAGCATCTTAACCACTCACCTCTTCAAATTAACTGAAGTAACTCCATAGAAGTAAAAGTTCATTGACCAAAATCACTCAGTCAAGATGGTCAGGCGGGCAGAATAATGTACTGTAATAAAAACCAATATTCTTTCTTAGTGAGGGACTAATTTTACATGACAAAAAATGGAAATCAAAGCACATCCACTATTTAAAAAAACATTTTTCCTGACTTTGAATAACTATGTATGTGTTTTCTACTTATGGCAAATAAACTGTAATAAGGACAGGAATGGAGAAGGGGATCTAAGGCTAAAAGAGAAATATTTTGAAACTGTGCATTTTCTTAAATTACCTCTGTAATGTTTATTCTGATTTTATTGCTTCTCTGTTTTACCACAGATTTTATAGAATGCATGTGAAGTGACTAGGACTAGAAATCTAGATTCTAGAAAGCTCACTGATATGTGCACAGAGTAATAAAAAATGGGAAAAAAACCAGGAGCAAGTTAATCACTTTAGTGAGGAGTAAGGTGAAACTAACCTATGCAAAAAAATATTTTACTTTGGAAAGCTGCAGTGCTGAAAGAGACCTTGTGATGATAGTGGACAGCAAATCAGACCTGAGCTTATATGAAAAGGCTGCAAAAAAAGATTAATAGAATTTTGGTGCATGACATCTCAACACAAAGAGCAAATAATCCAGCTCTGTTCAGAATGCACCTGAAGTAATGCTTTCACTTTTAGGTGACAAGAATATTGAGTGAAAGATGTTAACAAACTGGAGGGAGATCAGAGAAGAGCAACAGAAATTATCCATAAGTGGAAGAAAGATTAAAAAACCAAGACGTGTCTAATTTGTCTAAAGGAGTGCACTGTTTTGCAATTTTTTGAACAAAGTAAACAAAGGAGCAAAGTTACTTAGCATAATACAGAGAGATATAACTGTGAGGCAAAATGAATTCCAGTGCCCTTAAGCATTATTAATCTAGTACAGCCATTGGCAAACTTTTTGAGCTGAGTCCCTCCCTTTGAGTTACAATTCTTGGTTGAATCCCCCAATCCAAACACACATAGACATATGCAAAAGTTAGCTTAATAGCCTACTCATAAACCTAACAGAGACATTTTCTCAACTTTTATCACATTACCCCTTAAAGCTTCAAATACACAGACACTTACCAGTGGCACAGCCATGGCTTCCTCAGCAGCAGACTGCTCCTACTTTGCAGTCAAGCTGCACAGCTAAGAGCAGGACCAATACCAGCTCCCCCTCCCCCCCCACTTCTGGTTTTCAGGGTGAGGGAAGACATATGCAATGGATTCTGGATAGACAGAGCCCAAGATGGCTGCAGAGTCTGACAGGAGTGAAAATAAGTATAGCCCCTGTGAATTTTGTCTTGCACCTCCTGACTGGTTGCTTGACTTTGGCTTGAGAGAGGAGCCAGGCAGCCTTCCAGTGTAAGCTCCTATATTAAACTCCCACCATATCCTATTACACTTTTAACTCCATCTCTTATCTCTCCTTTCTGCTTGTGGACAGATTCCAGTTACAGACTAACTCGGCTGCCCCCCTGAAGCTTTTGTAACACACAAGCTACGTCTAGACTGGCATGATTTTGTGGAAATACTTTTAACGGAAAAGTTTTTCCGTTAAAAGTATTTCCGCAAAAGAGCGTCTAGATTGGTCCTGGAGTTATCGTAACAACAATGCGCTTTTGCGCAAAAGCGTGTCTACATTGGCGAGACGCTTTTGCGCAAAAGCAGAATCCCGGAATATTTTTAAGAGGGCAAAAGGTCACCAGCCCTTTCTGGGGGCAGGAGCTGGAGCTCCTTTGAGATATGTGCTTAAAGGGATCTCCCCGGACAGCCGTTTCTCTCCTGCTGCGTGCTATAGGACCTCGTGCAGAGATTGACAGTGGTAGCAGTTTTGGTGGTTGCCCTCTGCCTTTTTGGACACCACTGCCTTTTACCTTTTAGTGCCTTTGCCTGTTTTTTTTTTTTCATCTTGCTTGTTTTGTCTGCCATAGAGCCAGGGGTGGCCATGTGCCTGCTCTGGCCCTTTCTGGCAATTTTGGAGTGCTTGCAGCTGGTGCTCCAGGCTGGTGCCCTCCTGTTCCAGGACCAGGAGGCGCAGATCGCTTTGGACTCCCTCACCAGTGGAGACTGGACACCAGTACGGACTGGTGGGACCGGCTGGTCCTGGGGCAATGGGATGACCAGCAATGGCTCCGGAACTTCTGCATGCAGACATTTCTGGGGCTATGTGCCTGGCTCGCCCCTGCACTACAGAGAGCCACCACCCGGCTGCATGCACCCATCGCCCTCAACAAGAGGGTCGCCATCACGCTATGGAAGCTGGCCACCCTGAACAGCTACCTGATCAGTGGCACACCAGTTCCGGACTCCATGCCCAGGGGCAGCCAAGACTCCAGGCTGGGTCACCCAGGGGTTTGGGCCGTCCCTCCCTTGCACAGGCCTGCTGGTGGGGGGGGATCATGGGGGGAGGGGACCCTGGTGCGTGTGTGTGTGTGCATGAGCACAGAGGGCATTATAGGGAGGGGCCCCCCAAGGGACTCACCCTGCCTTATGTGATGTGTTCCCCTGTATTTCTCTGCACCCTTCTGCAGGTCGTCCATGCCATCAATGACATCCTGCTCCAGAGAGTCATCCGCCTGCGCGACGTGGAGGCTACGGTGGCCGGCTTCACTGCCCTCGGGTTCCCCAATTGCGGGGGAGCCCTGGATGCAACCCACATCCCCGTCCGGGCCCCGGAGCATCGAGTGTCCCATTTTATGAACAGGAAGGGGTACTGCTCTATCGTACTCCAGGCCCTTGTGAACCACCATGGCCACTTCCTGGACCTTTATGCAGGCTGGTCCAGCAGAGCACATGACTCCCACATCCTATGGAACTCCGGCCTGTTTCGCAGGCTGGAGGTGGGCACTTACTTCCCCTGGCAGGAGTCTACTGTCGGGGATGTGCCTATGCCCATCTGCGTCATGGGGGACATGCCCTACCCCCTGCTTCCCTGGCTAACGCGGCCCTACATGGGGCGGCCAGACCAGAACGACCACCTCAACTGGGCCCGTAACTAAGTGGAGTGCGCCTTCGGCCGCTTGAAAGCCGGCTTCTGTTGTTTGCTCACCTGTCTCGAGATGGGGGAGCGGAATGTCACGGAAGTAGTGGCCGCATGAGTGGAGCAGAGTGGGGAGGCCTTCCTCCTTGCATGGATGGCAGGCGAGGGCCAGGCCTATGAACAGCCCGGCACAGCTGCCATCCGCCAGGCGCACCAGGTTGGGGTGCGCATCCGGGAGGCCCCGACAGACATGTTCTCCCAGGCCCCATAGCAGGGTCACCTCAGTCTCCCTTTACAACTTCCTCCCATCCCCTGCCCTTCCCCCTCCCCTCCCCTCTCCTCCCCTTACCTCCTAATAAACCACAAACACAGTTTTTTCTTGAACACAAAAACTTGTACATTTTTATTTACAATGGGGAGAGGGGAGATCTAGGATGGGAGGGGCAGTACTAGGGGAGGGATGGCAGGGGCATGGGGCAAGGCCATGCCATAATGGATGGTATGGCCAATGTGTGCAGTGAGGGTGGCAATTGAATCCGTCAAGCAGATGCACTGGGCCTGGAAGGAGCCCCAGGCCTCCTGGCGCCACTGCAGGTCCGCCTCCACACGCCGAGTGATGGCCTGCATGTGGCACTGAAGGAGCTGGTCCCGGTGGCGGAGCCTCTGCCTCGGTGGTTGGGCGGCTAGGGGTGCTGCTCAGGCTTCTGCTTGATCCCACTGCAGGGAAGAGAAGAAAGGATGGGTCAGTCAGGCAACCCGGCCACTGTCCCCACACCTCATGCCCTCCACCCTTGAGCCCAGGTGACCACACAGTAGTGTGACTTGGGCCCACTTGGTTACCCCCCTTCCAGCCGTGTTGTATGTTTGCATACAGGACTGCCCTTGGAGTAGAGACCTCCTCCATCTGCTTGATCCCACTGCAGGGAAGAGAAGAAAGGATGGGTCAGTCAGGCAACCCGGCCACTGTCCCCACACCTCATGCCCTCCACCCTTGAGCCCAGGTGACCACACAGTAGTGTGACTTGGGCCCACTTGGTTACCCCCCTTCCAGCCGTGTTGTATGTTTGCATACAGGACTGCCCTTGGAGTAGAGACCTCCTCCATGTATTGGAACCACCGGTCTGTGTCCTGGCCCCTTGGAGGGTGGGAGGGCGTGTGTGTTGTGTTAACCTGTGGAACTCCCTGCTGGTGGAGGCTGTGAGGCTTTGGGCTAATCAATGGTGTTTGACAGGGAGCAAGATGAATCCCCACACAATGCCTGGGAGCACATCTAGCAAACGTTGTCTGGGCTCTCAGATCCCCATCATGTGGGATGTCTCCTGGACGGAACCAGGAGAGTGACTGGGGTGTGTATCATCCTTGCAGCAAAACTCATGTGGCCCTAGGGCCGGCCCAAGCACTTCTCCCCTCCCCCTTCCGCTAGCCCTCACACACGTAGCCCAGGGACATGTGTGGCCGCAGTGGGGACTTCACTCGGGGGGCTAGCCAAGGCACCGGGAGCAGGCGAGGGGCTCAGTGGAGGCCATGCTCACAGGGCTGTGATGCTGCAGTTTTCACAGGAGCAGCTGGCTGTGCCTCACAGCCAGGCATGGGACAGTGTGCCATTCTGCGTGCTGTGCCCTTGCAGAGGTGCGGGCTCTGGCCTGAGCCCCTGGGGCCCTGGCTGGTTCCAGACAGCATCCACCCTTCCCCCCGGTCTCGCCGGATGCGTGTGAGCAGCACGGTCACAGGCGTGCCCTGGAGCTGCCTGCTGCGGCCACATGGTTGAACGAGCTGCATGATGGGACAGTGTGCCATTCTGCGTGCTGTGCCCTTGCAGAGGTGCGGGCTCTGGCCTGAGCCCCTGGGGCCCTGGCTGGTTCCAGACAGCATCCACCCTTCCCCCCGGTCTCGCCGGATGCGTGTGAGCAGCACGGTCACAGGCGTGCCCTGGAGCTGCCTGCTGCGGCCACATGGTTGAACGGGCTGCATGCTGCCTAATGCTACACAGCCCGTGCAGCTCACGTGGCCTGAGTGACGTGCTGTCTCCCTCCCCCCTCTGGGTGCCTGGCTCCCATCACCCTCCTTCCCCCGCCCTTGTGAGTGCAAAGTGCAACACCCACCGGTGGATCCTTCCCCGGCCTCCGAGGATGCACGGGACACGTTGGGGCTGCCGGAGGGGGCCTGCAAGGTGCCAGTGCTGGCCTCGTCCTCTGACCCACTGCTGCTGTCTCCTTCCCCCCCCTCAACCCGGTGGTCCTGGTGACGGGGGGGGCGCAGGCAGGTGTCCATGCGGACGTCCAGTCCCTGCGGTGCTGGCTGGCCTAGGACGGTGGTGAGTGTCGAATTTTAGCATGAATGACAGTTCAGAGGATTCCCTTTCAGTTTCTTGCCATTTCAACCAGAAAAGACACTGTCTCAATGACCTAATCACCTGCATCCTACTCAAGAAGACTTTCAAATCTGCACTTGAAAGGGAATCCTCTGAACTGTCATTCATGCTAAAATTCTACACTCACCGCGGGGG